TTCACAACCTGACCTGAGATCACCTAAAGAAAATGGATGGATGGATGGATGGATGGATGGATGGATGGATGGATGGATGGATGGATGGATGGATGGATGGTTTGCTGAAGTTAAAGCAATGTTCTTTTTTCGTAAGAGGCATCTTTCAATCAGCAGTAAAAAAAAACGTTAACCCCAAAATCCATGAGTCTTTGAGCTTTCCATTTCAGCGAGTTAACCTAAACTCTGACTTCCTGTATATTACTGAAAGCTGCAGGAAAAAGGCAAGTGGTGCTATCCACACTCCATAAAGAGGGGAAAATGTGAAGCACCTTCATTTTGTCTCTYGAGTCTCRGCATGCTGTGAGAATTCCGATCCCCTGAAGAGCTGAAGAAATGGGCTCAGGAGTAGCTGGCTCATGCACGTATAATCCCACCGTGGGGAACAGTAAAGAGGAAAGTAGCTCACTTGTTAACTATTATAAAATGAGTACACAGTGCACCAAACCTTACATCATGCCAGATTTTAAAGCTTTAATGTTTTTTTTTCTTTTACATTTGCAACAAAAATCTCCCCACACACATACACACTGCTGTTTGGAGGACTTTGTTTTTGCTCTTCAAGATTGCAGATTTGTGCAACAACAAAACGTGAACCAATGCTGTTTGTTTAAATGCAGAACCAACATACAGTATCAGTGCACCAATATAACTGCAGCATGTCCTCAAAATGCTGTCAAATTTTTCACAATGTTCTATGTTTTAACAAACAATAAATCAGAATGCAGTATGATTTTGCTACAACAGTGTGTAAACCCACAGATCTATTATGCATTAGAAGAGTTCCCCTACACTAAGTCCTCTTCATGCTGGATRAAAACCCCTCTTATAGCATTAAAAGATGAGCTAAAATGTAGGTGGTCTTTCCAGACCATGAWGCAAGCCTGTTCCCACATAGCAGACAGGTGAGGGCCAGATCTGGTGTCAAGCCGGCACTGCTGGCATAATAAGTCAACAGATTGTAGACCAGGTCTGGCAGTGATGGCTCTTTTTTTTTTTTAATGACATGCCACAACTAGCCTAATTGTTACTTGATTTACTCTGGCAAATCACATCACCATCAAAGGGCTGTCATTCTTTGCTAAATCTGAGCCTAGTTAAGTGTTAGTGCCTTGTCTGGGCCAGAACTGGGCTAGATAAATTTTGCYATGCGGGTTGTGTAAACCAACACGGCTTGGTCATCAAGAATCTGAAGCAGGACTGGCCACACTGGCATCATTGCCTGGTCATAAAAGAAAATGTTGGACATTGCTTACATAATGGACAGGTTGTCCCACACAAATGCAAAGAAGTGAGGATTAAAGCTATTAGTTTGCTCAACAAAACTTTGTTCATTTTTGTCYCAAGGAGTTGTTTGTGTTTTAATTATTTCTTTTCACAGAGAGGCAATTTTATTTATTTATTAATAGATGTTGAACATTGTCAGTAAAAAGGAAAGAAAAAAGACAGAATAAATACACTATACAGGTGCTTTGTTGTTTTTATGGAAGAGAATTAAGGCCACCGAAATGAAAAAAAAAATTCCCTAAATTCTGACTTTAAAGACAGAATTTAGGGGATGTTTTTTTTCCCTCTGTGGCCCTAATCCCCTTGTGTAGTTTTGTTATTTAAAATGTTGTAGTTTTTTGTATTACAACCTGTAATTTATTTATTTATTTTTTACTTTCATTAGAGTGACTCTCAGACACTCTGACAAAATTAAAATGTCAGAGACGTAGTCATGTTTGTGGCGTCCATCTTGAATCGGGTTTGTCATGGAAAAATAACTCATCTTCCTTATCACGTGCTCCATTGACCTGTTTTGCTGTTGTTGATGCCATTGTTTTACATTATCTTCTGCCTTCTCTAAGATAATACGTTGTACCATCAAGATAAGGTATAGGGTAGATAGTCACCCCTACAGGGACAATTTGTCGGAACGTTTTTTTTTTTTTTGTCAGTTTATGCAAACATAAAAATATCAAGTATAAAAGGAGGTTTTAAACTTTGATTCTTTGCATAACTAGTTTTGGCGTGGGACTGTTTTAAGGCTTTTGTGACTTGCAGCTGCAATAAAACTCAAACGACCATTCTACAAAGTGCCTTTTTATTTTGTGATCACCTGTTTCTCTCCTTGTTAAATTAAAATTTCCACAACTTTATTTTTTTTAAAAAAAGTTATCAGTTGTAGATTTGGTTAATTCCTGAGTTTCATTGAAATCTGTCATTCATGAGATTTTTTGCAAACAAGACAGACTGAAACACGGTCTCAGCATGGCACGGTTTGCCCAGCTTTAATGCCAGCGGGCAACAGCTACAAAAGAGAGATGCAGCCTACACTAAAGGAGCTCAAAGCTTCCTAACCCACGTATGCTCCACATTAGTGTGTAAATCAGATCATCTGCTAAAACCACAGATTGTCATTAGATATTTATATTGGTACAAAATGAATGGGTGTTACCGTGATATGATTCTTTTCTTTGCAACATTTGTGTTGTTAAATTATAGATGAGCKTCCCCTGTGGGTCTGTTTTTCCATCTAAAGCTACACATACTGCAACCATATGAGAAAATTATTATTATTACTGCAGGTGATCAATAAATCATTCCCAATCCTTTCATTTTAATATTTTATTACTGCTTTGCTATAAATTCTGGTTTTGTACTGTAGGAACCTCTGTCTTGCTGTTTTACTCAGGGGCGTAAAATGGCCGGCCCATATTGTTTTGTAAAAGGTGACAGGATGGCTGTCCATGRTCAGCCTGGTCGGATCATGGTGATAACACAGGCTGAACGTGTCACCTGTAGAGAGCTCATCTTTTTAATCAGCACAATTCTCAGCATTTCTAGACTTGAGAAACGCTCTTGAAAAYGGACCCACATGGCCTCAGCTTCAAAAACATAGGTCACATGGGTCATTTAATCCAAAAGCAGCAGGAGGGTTCACTGATATCACTGGTCAACAGCTCACATTTACAACAACCACAGAAAAACAAATCACACATTGTTAGTGCGACAGTTAAACTCAGAACGAATTCCCTTTTTAAAGGTCAGTAAAATGATAAAAATCTTACCTCAAACACTTTAAAACAGCAAAGTACAAATATAATAAATGCTCACCATTTAAAGTAGTCACTGTCATTAAAGGGGACATAAACAACAAACGTAGTTTCAGTCCAGAATTATCCAAGGAGTGCATTTGTTATTTAAAATCATACATTATTTTTTAAATAATTATGTCTTTTGTGATGACATGCTGAATAAGTCAGCTCCAGCTGAGAAATGGATCGCTCCGACGGYTTGAACTACGACTGCATCCTTGTTTTCAGCTCCTGGAGGATGTCAGAGCCACTGCTCCAAACAAAGACTTCAGCTTTAACAGAGGCGTCGCCTTCTTGCGCTGTCAGTTTGGCCAGAAGTTTGTCCAGGGTGTACCCCCTCCTGGGCATCACGACATCATGCCCTCTCAGACAGGAAGCGGGGCAGAGGTCGTTCCCTCCGTCGCCAACGTAAACAACGCGCCCGTACATCGTACCCGCCTCGGTCTTCTCAGAAAGGTAGCGCTCCAGGACTTCCCTCTTGCAGAGGTTGACGGGGCATTCATCACAGTCGTGGGTGTGGTAGCACTGCACCTCCACGTACCCGGACTCATTCAGTCGAGCGGGGTTAGTAAAAACCCGGTCCACGGCTGCTCGGAGTCCCGCCCCCTTCAAGATCCAGTCTATAAAAATGGTGTTGGAGTCAGAGATGACAATGCAGTCAATGGTGTCTTTGTGCTCAGCTATAAATGTCAGCAGGTCTGTCATTCCAGGGGTGAAGGGGATGGTCTCCAACACGCCTCGGACCCTGTCAGGCCCGACCCCCTGGTCTCCTGTTTGAATCAATGAAACAGACTCAGAACTGAAGGCTGGGCRGTTTGAAAGAAGCAATAAAAGACAAGACAAACAATACACTGATCTCTAACCTATGTAGTTCATCACTCTGCCCATGTACTCAGTCCAGTGGCCCTTTCTGTACGAGTTCTTCACAGAGTCTGGAAGAGTTTGACCTGGGAGGCATCTGAGGACAAGAAACAACACAACATTTATGAGAGAACAAATGGTTAYGCTCAGCGAACATGAGATTTCCTGATCTCAGACTATATTTGGACCGAGTGACTTGTTATGAAACTGTTATTACGTACTTGATCACCCAGGTGTCACTGTTGTTGTCAACCACAGTGTGGTCAAAATCAAAAACCATCAGAAGCTTCATTTTTTTTTTACCTGGGAGGGAACAAAACAGCAGTTTTAAATAACCCCGTTAAAAAATACATTTAATTTGGACATATTGGCAAGTGCCTCTTAATAAGTAATTAGTGTTATGAGTCAGAAAATAAGCATTACGCTTGTCAACACTTTTACTTTCTATTACTTGCTTGTTTCTATGAACCGACTGAGCCACAGCGTCTTCAGTAATAATGCCCATGTTTTGGTTTTTTTGAATCCCTACGTAAAATACGTTTAAGGGTGTTATACATTTAATTCTGATTATTTTTACACGGAGTTTGGTGTCGTACAGACCCGGCTAAGTTGCAATGAATGTTTTGTTGTATGACTTTCAAACAGGGTTGAGAAGAATCAAAGACGACACTTAGTTTTGGACCAGACTGTGCTTTGGGAGGTAATTTATAAAAAAAAAAAATCAAGAATAATAAAATCTAAAACAGAAACGAAACCTACCCGATCCAGCCGGTCATCAAGCCGCCGCTGTTGTGCTGTGAATAAATGACTTCACTACCGCCATCTGCTGGATGTCCTGCGAATTTTAATGTTACAAAACACAGGAATGTGGCGCCAGTATTTGTCTAATTTATGACAACTATAATGGAATTGCTTGTATATCTTTGTGTATTTTACTGTTTATGTATTTATGCAAGAATTATTCTGTGATAATATCACTTTATTTGACGATCTGTTTGAAAATGAGCTAACTCACTGTGACCGCTAGGTGGCGGTACAACGCAAACCCTCACAAACACAGAAGAAGAAATTCTGACGTTTCATTTCCTGGTTACGCCAAAATTATTCTGCCACTGTTCAGTTTGGTGTTTCTTTCTCGTCGCATTTTCTCTGGAGAGTTTATCATTTTTACTGCCGGTATGTTTAAAGGCTTGGGGACGTGGTTGGGTCTGGAGAAGACGTCGGATGAGTCGGAGAGTCTGAACGTGGAGCAGGAAGAGAAGGTGGTGGAAGCCCAAAACGAGGTAAACAAACAGCAACCAGCTGACCACGATCACGACGAAGCAGAGACAAAGCACGCAAACCCAGAGCAGAGATCAGGATTTGGTGGTAAGGAAACAACAATTTATCAGTTACTCGTTACGCCGTGGCCTTTCTTAAATATGTACTTTGTTTTGTTACTATAACAGCTTGTTTTTGAGGTACTTTTCTGAGCGGAGGTTTCTAACTTCTACTCTTTTTATGTTGGTGTTATTTGTCCGCTTTGTGTTTGTTGTTTTCAGAAAGTGTCCTGATTATTGATTGTGCTTGTAGCCACCCTGCCTCCTCTTGTGTTTCAAGGTTACATCTTCAGCTTTGCCTCCAGTGCCACCAAGAAGCTCTCTGAGTCTGTGGTAGAGACGGCTCAGAGCATCAAGAAGACAGTGGAAGAGGGGAAGATTGACGGCATCATAGACAAGGCACGTTGTTGAGCTTTGGATGTTTGAAGTCCTCCAATGTAGCCTTTTTTGTTATCTTCAGTGATTCAAATGTTGTTTTAATGATGTCCTTGAAATGGTTGGCTCCTTTCCACCCATTGTTGTGTTTCTGTTTGTATTTGCAGACTATCTTAGGAGATTTCCAGAAGGAGCAAGAGAAGTTTGTTCAAGAGAAGAAGGCCAAAAAGTCAGGTATTACCATACCATCAGTAAGCAGGGAGTAAATTACCTACAATGACACTTCCAGGCCACTAAAAGCCCTGCAGATACACATTGGGCCTCATGCAAGAACTGTTCGTACGCACAGATTTGTTCTTAAGTTGTGCGTACGAGTGATTTAGGAGAATTTGTGGCATTCACCAACGTTTTTGTATTCTAAGATTTTTTTCAGATACGAACAAAATTCACGAGTGGTCCAGACCTGTCGTATATTTTACGAGCAGTCAGTCTGCTGTTATCCAGATGGGTTTTCTTCACTAATAACTTTATATTTCGTTAGTTTGAAGATATTTTGAGTTGAAAATAAATCACACTCCATAATTATGTTGACAATAGGCTATTCTGCTTGAATTAGAGTTATAATTTTAAATGTAATAATTTAGACTAACAATATAAAATTGTCCATCCGGCCGGCTTATCCGGGATCGGGTCTCAGTGGCAGCAGGAGACCMTGCTCTCCCCAGCGACACCTTCCAGCTCATCCTGGGGGACTCTGAGACGTTCCCAGGCCAGAGGGGATACACAATCCCTCCAGCGAGTCCTTCATTTTCTCCAAAGTGCCAGATATATTGTGAAATCATTTTAAAATGCTTATTTCAGAACCGCAACTGAGACCACTTGAGACTGCGCGGGGGGGGTTACGGTGCACAGCGCTTCGGCTTCTGAATAAATGAAAATGATTTAACACAGTTGTTTATACTTTTAGCAGCTCTTTTTATTCCACAGCTGAGCTGCTAAAAATGACAGATTTTCTTTTCTGGATCTCTGACAGACGGACTTCAATCTCTGAACTTGTAAAGTTCTTCTTTTTAGTTTTCGCGGTCATTTTCCTGAATGGACACTTCCTGATGTCTGAGGCAGGAAACACAGCCTTATATGGTGTTTTTGGGGTGGTAATTATGCTAATCTCCTCTCGCGTGCACGAGCAGCTGGATACGAACAGGTGGAATTTACGCAGCTCATTTACACACTTTTCCTGAAGATAGAAGAGTTTGTTGAATCTGACGTGACATGTTCGTACGAACCCTTCATACGAACAAAAAGTAAGAGAAATTTAGGATAAGAATACGAACATGTTCTTGCATGAGGCCCCAGTGTTTTCCAAGTAGTAGAACTGATGTTCAAGCCCTGCAAAAAAAGTGTTGGTCAGTGCTTAAATTACCTGCTGATATAAACTCATGGTTATATATTCGTAAGTGGTACGTGGTGGGAAAAAAATGGACAAAAAGTAGCTGAATACAATGACTCCCTTACATATAATATAGCTCATGTACATGCTTCAGTATTTATTACAACAATATTTGTAAATACATACCGTACCGTGCAAAAGTTTTAAAGTGGCACTAATTTATTTATAATTTGCGTCTAAGTTTCAGGCCTAAAAATAATTTGTAGACCTACAGTTGAACAGTATCTGAAAGTTATGTCTGTAAGAAAAAGACCTGGCAGACAGCCTCATCCTTCAGCTGATCATCGACTCTGAGAAGTTTGGGAATCGTTTGTAGCTAAATACTACTTTATGTGTCAAACTGTGTCATTTTAGGTGTTTTTTAAATTAAATAAACAAAATAAACGGAGACAGATTGTGTGTTTTTTAGGATGTTAGTAACATAATGTGTAAATATCCAAATCAAAATATATTTTTCCAAAGTTYATGTCAAGTGTTGACCTTAAACCAATTCATCCCCTGGGTTTAGAGGCCTTTTTATGTTTGAATGATTCTTATGTCAGAACTAATGAGTTTAACATGCATGCAACAACATCCTCTACAAATGATCAAATACTACACTGAATCTGATTGGGAAAGGAAGTCAAAGTACAAATAATAATAATAATAATAATAATAATAATATAACTTTTAGAATCCCTGAAGAAATATTGATCCAGACCACATTAAAAGATTTCTGGTCTGGAAGCAAAATATAAAGATGCAACATTATTTTCTTTTTAATGATTCAYGGCTAATTAGGTGTACAAATGTCATACTAGTAACGTAAACAAACCATACAGATTTTWAAGTCAAAAAAGATGGATCAGGCTTTTTTTGTTTCAAAGACTTGACCTGGTTAAAGCTACTGAGGTACTGAAAGGACATCCCAGTAAACAGATTCATGTTGGAATAAGGAATGATTCTGTACAAAAAGTCAATTCTCAAACTGCAGAATCAAAAAAAATAGTAACTTCAGTGTAAAATTTCTTGGGAAACTGTTACCCAAACTATTATATTCAGTGCTCCATGATAACTAGCTGTAGTTTAGCCACTTAAAAGTCATACYATTTCCATACTGTGGCCATGAACACACACTGTACAAGAGAAATACTTTTTGAAGACAGGAAAACAGTCCATCCCTACGGTGCTAATTATAAGTCCTAACAAAGGTTTATCTTTGATTCTTTTTTTTTAGTTTGTGTTTCTAAGCAGACAAAAGATTAGAGCTAACTTTATTTGAAGTTTTATAATCACAACAAAAGGTCATTTGTTGGTTTGGCTTGTTTTTAGTTGGTGACAGTTTTCAAGACTTTTTTTTTCTTTCAGTTTTTCTCTGTTTTGATCACACAGTTTTTCTATAAGAAAAGCTAAATATTTAAAACACTATCCAGTTAATTATCTCCCAGGAGTTTACATCCTTGTATGTTTATCCCAAGGTCAGACCATGCAGAAAAAAAACAAACAATAAAAACAACCAAGAGCTCCATCTTAGACTCTCCAGGCTTGCTGATTTGCAGCCACAAGACCTGGGCACCTTGATGTCAGCCAGTTGAACATGAGCACCTCTACTACCACTGCTGTTTTATTTATAAATTGTTTTTATGTACAACAACATGTTATAGAGGTTAACTGGCAGCCATCTGTCTGACAGTGGAGGTTTGCTGTAATCATGTTGTACAGTAGGACTGAAAAAGAAAAGCATTAGGGGGGCTGCAATGACTTAAAGTGGAGACATCAGCCTGACTGAAATACTATGAAGGACCATAGGAGAACAGTTAATCCATCCTTTAATTCTTTCATGATCTTCTATTTTTCCAAGAGCACATAGGTCACAGGACAGTTGTTAGAATTACGTTTGAACACTTGTGTTGAGTTTGTTATTGTGTGCTGCTGTTTGTGTAGAAGCAGCGGTCCCTCCCTGGGTGGGCTACAACGAGGAGGAGACGATCCAGCAACAGATCCTGGCTCTGTCCGCTGTAAGCTCAATGTCTGACTGTGTTTCAGCAGCGTTCTTGCTTATTTTTGATCCGCTGCTTGTGCTGAAACTGACGCCTCTGTCTCTGGCTGCTGGTCCCCAGGACAAGAGGAACTTCCTGCGAGACCCTCCGGCTGGCGTTCAGTTCCACTTTGACATGGAGCAGATGTATCCTCTGGCTGCAGTCATGCTGGAGGAAGACCAGCTCCTCAATCGCATGCGCTTTGACCTGGTCCCTAAACAGTAAGATAGTTGTTTGTTTGTTTGTTTGTTTATTTATTTAGTTATTTATTTAATTTGCATAATGAGAAATGATTCATTCTACTGCCAGATCCCATCAGAGTTGGTTCAGCTCGCTCATACGGTTTGCAGGCGAAGGTCGCACCACATCCATCATGAAACAAGCCTTCGTTTACAACCTATCTCAGCACTTTAAAGATTAAGGAGTCTTTTCAAACAGGTCCAGGACAAAGTTGTAGATAATAAAACAACATTCAGAAAGTGCCAAATATGTTATTAGAACATTAAAGGCCAAGCAATCCTTGAAGGAGCGCATATCGCCCACTATGTCTTCCTATCAAACAGTTATCTCCATCTAAAGTTTGAAGCAAAGGTTTGCAGAATTAATACTTGGAGTAAGTTTTTTGGGGATAATTCTCAGCTACGATCACATTCTCATTCAAAATCAGCAACATTAACGAAGTTATGGCCATTGTTGTAGTTGCTGATGTTGACTGGCTGTAGTAGGCATCATCAGGCTGACTCCAGAATTAAATCAACTGTACCTGTACATCCAGTCATCACTTTCTGAGAGTTTCACTAAAACTGGTTTAGGGGTCCATGAGATTTTTTGCTAACAGACAAACAGGGTCGACATCATCAGCTTTAGGCGAAGATCCCTGTTGCACTCAGAGTTTCGAGGAGAATTTTCAGTGACTGCTMTTCCACATTTCAGCTCAAAATSTGTAAAACTGACGGAGCTGTAGCTTTCCTTTAGTGTAAACCCAACACTGCGAGAGTTTTTTCTGCAGACGAAGGTTAAAATGCTTCCTGGTGTGTTTGTGTCGGACAGAGTGAAGGAGGAGGTGTTCTGGAGGAACTACTTCTACCGGGTGTCTCTGGTCAAACAGTCGGCTCAGCTCACAGCGCTGGCAGCTCAGCAGCAGCAGAAGGACGGCGGGGACAGCGGCGCCGTCTCACCCGATGATGTCGTCTTGAAAGGTCCAGCTTTTTACAGAACAGTCGCATCATTTAGTGAAGACAGGCTGACRTTAGTTTAGAGTGGTGGTGAAGGTTGTTCAGAAAGATGCAGTGTTTTTCACCAAGGTACTAAGAGTTCTCTGTAAACTAGGACTAAACACATAAAACAAAAGACAAAAAGCTTCTCTTGACTGRAGAAAAAGATTCACCTGTGAGTTTCAGATAAATATTGTTGAGTTTAATCCTTTTTTGTCTTAATTATTATTAAGTTTTTAAAAATGCAAAAATGATTTATATATTGCTAGATTGGTAAAAACGTTTTTGTTGTCAAAATATGAACAAAATGTAGACTGAGTATTAAATTTCGTATTTTTTATTATTTTCATCACTGTTGTTAAAAAGTGAATTATGTTATTAATGAATATCCGCAGGTTGTTTGTGCCTTGAGAACTATTCTCTTTTAAGTAGGGGCCGGTGTTATAAGATTTTTTTTCTTCTTTCTGCTCCTTTTCATTAGACATTTTTGTTATTTTTATTTTTTATTGTTTTTTTTATCCTTTTCCTCTTTGTATATATACAGGTATATAT